GACGAGAGGCTCTGCGGGCTGATGTATTTTTTTGATTTTTTTTTTTTGCAACCAGCTTGTAGGGAAGATTTCCGTTTATTTAAGACTTAATTCACCGGTATGGATACCAGTGTATGTACATGTACAATGATTGAGCTTCCCAGCGTATTTGTTAAGTTTTTTTCTCTTTCTAAGAAAAATACATCAGCTCCCAGAGTCTCTCGTTCTCCAATTGATTCACATCCCATAAGGTAAAGAATGACAAACGGCCTTGTTGATAGCAAATCCCACTTTCCGTCCCTTCATAAACTCTGATTCACAGCGGTAATTACTTTCTTTGAATGATTTTGGAATTTTCCAACAAGATATTAACTTCAACGGATTATTCCCTGAATTTTGCTTGCACAAAACCGGTTCTTCCTTGCTATTTTCTCATTTAGAAAACCACTTCTTTTTAAGAAAACACAAGTACAAGTCTGAGGAAAACTAAAATTCACGGTGGCGGCCAAACGCCATTCCGTTTAACTTAACATGTGGGCCTAGTGGCAACATGTATGATTACGCTTTCCCTTTAAACACAAACACAAAACAAAACACAAAAAGAAAACAAGATAAATGAGAGGGAGGGTAACGGGGCCCATCCCCCCCTAAAAAATGAACCCTTTTTTTTTTAGTGGCGTCGCAATAAAGGCAGACACTGCGTACACCACCATCTTTTCCTTTAAAAAAAATGGTTCAAATGGTCAGAAATTGCCTCAGATCGCACCGCAGAGCATCTAGAAACGAAAAACAAATTAAAAAAAATTGGGGGCCCTTTTTAGGACCCACTTTTTGGGGAACCAAATCCGCCCCCCCCCCCCCAAACAAAATGTGATCTGGATCTGCCCTTGGGGCCGGCCATGCAAGGCCTTGTATACATTTTTAAAAAATAGGCCTGTTATTATTGGTACGGCTATAGCCGTCGTACCGCCTCCTACGGCCTTGGCCCAGGACATTGTTCCTGGGTACTTGCAAGTGACTGCTGGCTCTCTGCTGGTTCTGGATGTACACACTGTTCCCTTTGCATGGATGGCTTGCAGTCAGTCAGACTAGAGCATTGTTCCTGATGAGAACTTGCAAGCGCTGGGGTCCCAGCTGGTTTTGCATGTACCTCAACATGCACTTGAACATGCTGCTGACTATGCATGGGTGCCTTGCTGCTACTTTGCCTGGAACATTGTTCTTGACAGCTGTCCAGTGGCTGCTTTCTCGCTGTGTGTTGTGCATGCCCTTGGCTTGGTGGCTTGCTGCTGCTTGGCCTTGCAGCATTGTGCTCTTGGTCATCTGCTTCGCTGGGTTTAATGGCGGCTGAGATTCCGTTTTGGGCAGCGATGACAGCACAGTTTGAGGAATGAGAAAGCCATGACTACAGCTGCACGGGATAGTCAGTGTTTGTGACATTGTAGACAAGAGAATTGATTGAGCTGTTGACAAGTTGCAGAATGTTTATTAACAAATAGTCACAGCATATAGTTTTTCTGCAAGTTTTAGGTATATAGCCTCTTGAGCCGGCCTGGTATAACTGTTGCGTACGATTCTAATAGTTGCAGCTGCAATGTCTAGTGAGTTCTAAACGAAGAAAACAGCAGTATTTATGATTATCAAACGGAGGACCTTGCCTGCTCGCTTCGGAGGGTTTGGCAACGGAGCTGATTGCTTGCACACTTTAACTACTACATAGATGTACAAAGGAAGAGTGGCTATTAAACAGACAACGTTGATAATGTGAGAAATCCAAAAGATTATTTCATTGAAGACGGTGTCTGTTATTGGTAAGAATATGAGAATCACAGCAACAATAATTGTTGGCACCCAGAGTCCTGCTGATATCTTTGCTGCTCGAGATTTAGAGGCTTTTTCTTTGTGTGTCAGAGGATTGCGCACTGCAGAGAATCTCTCAGCTGCTATGGTAACCACAAATAAATTACAAACCGTGAGAAACATATAACGAACGCCCCGGGCTGCAACTTGCAAGGAGTCTATTGGTTGAATAAACAGTACATATAGAAGGTTATATGTAAGGAAGAGCAAGTCAGCCACAGCCAGATTGGACAAGTAGATGTTGATGTTTGTACGCATGGACTTCACTCGAATGACTGTGAAGAGAAAGACTATGTTGAGGAGGATGCCGATTGGTGCAATGATTTCAATACGTGACCATTTTATTTGAAGAAGTCCATGTACACTCTCGTCAAAGTAGTCACGAAGCTTGTCAATTTCACTTTCCCTCCCAGCATGCCCAGTTGATGGAGTGGAGCTGTTTTGGTAGTCATCACCCATAGTTCATTTACAGTGTTGTATTGATCGTCATGTCCAACATTTTGTGGAAGATTACTACTGTTTTGCCTAACAGAGAATGTACACTGTACATTTGTAAGACCATGAGAAATTTAAGTTGAAACTAAAGCTCTTTCATATTTGTCCGCATTTTTAATCTTTATTGGTTTTGTTTTAGCAGCAGTGTTTCAAAAACAATCAACACAGTTTCATAATTGACATTGGCATGATAGTTGCCATTTTTGTTTGAGTTTGTGTAGACATCCTTTTAGTTTTGTTTCTTTCCCTCCCATACATTATACATTGTATACAGTTCTCCAACTCCAAGTATCCCAAATCCTCACAATCCCAGCCCCTGATTTGATGGATTCAGAATTTCAGAACACATGTATTATCGTAGCTTTAGATGAACATATAATGTGATATTAGTTTAGTCTGTTGGATTTTGGAGAATTCATAAAGAATTCATAAATTCAGTATTTTACAGCTCAACATGTCGGTGGTATAACCTGTGCAATGATGTATTTTTTAGGGGTGTGCAAATACGATTAATACAGGAACCAGGTACCCGATTGAAAAAAAACATGGGTACCTGGGTACCCATTAAGGAAACCCAATGCCAAACATGCCAAAATTCAAATCTCGGAAGTTGCTGTTGAGATTGTTAACTACAACCGCATCGGCACATCAGTACAGCAAGATACAAGTACAGTGAACTTTATAGCTTTACGGTTTTGTAAACTGCAGCTAAGTAATTACTGTAATTAAGTAATTTGGAAAGTTGGTTACGGGTACCCGATACCATAAGGCCAAAAAAAGAAATACTTTTGCTTCCGGTTACCCGACCCACCCTATTTTTAGTCTGCGACCCTAAACATTTTATCGGCAGTTCCAAAAAAAAGAATGATTGAATAAATAAAAATAAAATCTTGTTGTTTTTTCTGTCTTCTCAAAATACCTCTCAACAACCCTTTTGCATCAAAATATGCTTGTATTTAGTTTTCTTACTTATGTTCGCTATTTTTTTTTCAAAAGAAACCGTTATTTTTAAAAATTCGCTTTGCGATATAACTACTTCGCAATTCGATGTCACGGTGACTATAATCACGTACCTAAACCTAGCTCAATGCAGCGACAACTGGTTCCCGCCGCGCCACGCAGGGACCAATTTAGAAGACATGATGGAAATGCGGTAACCAGTCTGTCATGGCTATGCGATCGATAGCGCTAGCATGGCTATGCATTGCAGGCACGTGCACTGTCAACTGGTCGGATTCGACATCGTAAAATGCCAAGAAAACACCGATGGAGAAAGAACAAATTTTTGCAAGTTAATTCACAGAATTGATCTACATGTAGCTTATTTTCCGTGTTCAAGAGTTCATTTGGAGATCGCACTACTTGTATTTGGAGTGATACAATGCAGCGTGTTTCCTGAAATTTTCGACCGTAAAAACGAGGTCTGACGGCCGCACGTCACACATGCACAGGGCATCACACACTTTGGAGTTTTGGCCAGCTTCCCGTCTTGACTAGCATTGTGCATATGGTGCGAACGACCTGAATTTTCCATTATTTTTTGAGAATTATCTAACGTAAATATATTGACAATAATTAATGTAGGTTTTTTTTTTCACATTTTGTGGCCAATTTGTGTATAGCTTTTTAATTCATAGTGCAATGGAAATAGTTCAGGCTAAAACTTCGCATATAATTGAACACCCCATTCAATCTGCATTAAAAAAAATTTGGCCAAAAAAAAATATTCCGACCAACCGACCCTATTTTTGAAAGGCATGTAATCGGAAGCAGAAGTATTTTTTCAGCCTAATTAATCTAGAACCGGTTCCTGACATCGACGGTCGGGTACTCGGGTACCCGGTTCCGATGCACGGCCCTGGTATATTTTGCATTTTTTTTGTTTCCTGATTCAGCTTATCCTGTCAAGAGTAATAAATGGGTTCCGTAATAAGGAAAAAATACAAATTTGAAAATTCTGAAATACATGAATATAGGCCTACAGGGTAAGGCAAAAAAAGTGACCAAATTTGAACAATATTCGCTATCAATATTTCTGGAAAAAAAAGAGTTGACTTTTTATTCTTTTTCATAACACAAAATCTTATAGTATGCTCTTTTAAGACGTACATTGGTGTATCAAAATTGTTGCTTTTAAGAAAATGTTTTGAATCCAGGTCTCCTTCTTTTTGCCGCGCCCTGTACAACACTATTGAATTCAAATCACCCCAACCCAAAATGTCATCTTATAAATAGTTGGGTTACAGTACCTGCTGCTAGGTCAGATTCAAACCAGCCAGCCAAACCCCGGCAAGCTGTGTGGTTGAGTGGTAAGCTGTGTGCACTAGTAAGCAGGTGGTCCTGGGTTCGAGTCTCAACCGAGTATAGAATGTGCATTTTGCTCTCACAAGCGCTGGGACAACACTCGGCATATACAGTGTCTATAGTACGTCTGTGAAGGGCAAAAACCCAATACTGAAAATATTGCAAATTGGTGACTAAATAATTATAAAAATTTCATCCTGAACTTCAATGCAATTGATCAATCTTGACAATGAGAATTTGACAGATACAAACAATGGGAATCCGTGACAAGACTAGCCAATGCTTGAAACCAAGAAAAAGTGACTGTGAACTGGCAAGTCTTGCACGCTCAATTGTGTACCCTTTTTTTTTTTTTTTTACAGCAACCGAAGAAGATATGGACTGGTCTGCAACTGAAACCCAAGAAAGTCAAGGCAGTCAACAAGGCAACCTATGCTTTTGTGACATTCAGGTAAATGAATGCAAACTCTCTATTGATTTTTGCTGCCAAGGTCAGTTGTTGCTTGCCAAATCAAGTGGGCATCTACATCCAGTCGAGTGTCCATGTTTGAAAAGATGGTAAACTGAAACTGAGTTGTAAATGAATTAGTTAAAGCTACAGTCCATCATTTGCAGCTATCCAAAAAGTAACTGACGTAATTATTGTTGAAAAACATACTTGGTTGAAAGATAGTAAGAGAACTAGACTCCCTGTCAAATTGTTCTTTCTGCCATGCTTTATTTTGAAGAAATCAACGAAAGAAGGCTTTCCAACAATGCGTCTAAAGAGGCATCGTTGGAAATTGCGTGTTTTTTATTCTGCGAAACGCATCCAAGAGTTGACACGACGCACATACGTGCGTGGTTGCTATAATTCGTCAGATCAGTGTGCAACATCGCGTAGCTGCAGTCAGCTCAATGAGAAGTGTCTTGGATGCCGAATTCAGGCCCAATTCAAAACATGATTCAGCAACATTTGATTTGAAATCGAGATCCTAGAATGTTGTTTTTCTCGGAATATACGGCTGAAGCTGAGCTGAAATTTCCTCATGTTAGTTGTTCAGCACCCTTCTTTAGATTTTGAGCACGTTTGTTGCTTCAAACGAACAAAATGCACAAATTACAAATGATGCACTGTACATTTAAGCCAAATGTAGCAAAATTTGCAACGTTATTTGCTCTGAATCGAATACGATACAGTTTAGGGCAATTCCAGCATTATTTAATGTTCGTGGCAGAAATTTGAAAAGCTCGGTGATTAAACTAAAAACATTTTTTCTTCCCAATCTTACACATCCATGATCTAGTTATAATGGTCATAGAAAATTTATGGAATCATTATGAATTAGACTGGAATATTGCAGTTGAAATTTCAAAGTAGCTATACAGTCCACTGAGAGCTTGTTTTCCTTCAAAATTGCATCACACGACCGCCATTTTGTTGTACGTTTTCACAAATTCCGAGCTGAGATCCGACGACTCTTTGTTGAATATCAGACAACTATTTACTGTATGCTGACTAAACACATAAAACAGTCACCGAGTTGTGCTATAAATACACATACGACGCGTTGCACTTACAACGTGTTTTGTGAAATGGATCGCAGGACACATCGAAGCTGCGAGGCACCGCAGGGATACGACGTGTCGCAGCACTGTGATGCATCGTAAGTTCACTGCTGTTTTCAGGGCGACATGTCCGTGCTTTAGCTTGTATAAAACACCCTCTTGGGACCAAATGTATCCAGTTGCGTAAAAACAGCTCAACGGAGGACGTCTTTTCAATCACTTTTTTATATTACAAACAAGTTTTTGATATTAGAGATAGAACAATAAATCGACAGAAAAAGGACTATAATTTTTGTATCAGATAGGACTGTAAACTCTTCGACAAGACACTTGATGAGAGAACACCTCTGAAAAATTGCCTTTGATTGCGACGTTTATAATTGTCTCAATCGGAACGAAAATAATGGTCACATTTTGTGGGATTTTTCGTCATCCTGGGAAGTTCATTCCGAATCAAGTAAATTACCATTGGAAGACTAAATAAAGGAGAATACCAATGTGGAAGACTTTTGAGAGCAAACCCTGTTGGAGCCACGTACGTAGCTATTAAATACTTACACTAAGTGTAAACAAACATGTGCACTAATCATAGCATGCAGGCACGGCACTACGCGTATATCCCCGTCCCTGTGAAATGAATACACGCTGGGCACGGGCCAATCAAGCGTCGGCTTGGTTGTTTGAATTGCAAACCCTGAGTTCTGTGTTATATTGTGCAGTTGAGTAGGAAAACTACACTCCAGGTTCAGTAAACCCACCAGGGAATCCCCCCATTTTCAGGCGAGTTTAGGGGTTTGCTCTTTTGAAATCACTGTTAATACAAAATTTAAAGTCTAATTGATGTTTTCATGGCAGTCTTAATGCTAGCTGAACTTACTTGATTGCATAAAAAAATGCTTTCGTTTGGACCCTTTTTTTCCCGCTTGTTGCTGGCTTTCGCTCAGTGAAAGAGGCCTTCGTTTTTGTTTATTTCGCGAAAATAACTAAGTCGCATTTAAAATATTTGACGTAGATGCTAAGGATATATAGTTTTTAACCTAGGTAAAGGTAAAGGTAAAGGTCCCATAGCCATTACTGGCTGTAGGGGCAGTGGGATGTTAGAGGTCCACTGTGTCTTGGGCGCGGCATATGAGTGGCGGGGCCCAGTCCTCTCCTCTCGCCGTCTTACCTTCCCTGAACGAATCAGGTACCCATTTTACTGTTGGGTCGTCAGAGAGAGTTTTTAAGTTTTTAGGACAAATCTGTTGGTACATATTTCGTGCATTTATGAGCATTTTTTTTTGTAAGGCCGTTCTCAGCGACTTGCTTTTATGAACGAACTCATGAATATTCATTTTACAGCACAGCCAGGAAAAACTGGCGCATGCGCATAAACCTCATGTCGCGCTGTGAGCCCCTGGAACAGCGGTGAGTTACGAAGAGTTTGATGAAATCAGGTGCTTATGTAATGAAACACAATAAGAGCACTGGGAAACTTGACACAAGTTTTAGTTTCTGTGTTTGGATAATCAAGAAAGTAATTTATAAACACAGAAATAGTCACTGCATCAACAAAGATTTGAAACCATGGAATTCCTACACTCTCTTGCTTGAAATTGAAAGTGTACTTTGAATTTTGCTATCAAATGTTATCGTAATGAACTTTTCTTCTTATTTTGAGCAAAATTTGATCCTTTTTTTGTTCGTGGCATGTTTTATCTTTAACATCGTGATTTTACCCCAAAATTTCCCTCAAAGTAATTCAACACCCCACCCTCTGTCCCTAAACAATCACCCTCCCTCCAGCACCGTCGCCAGCTCTGGGCATTTGAGGGGGGGGGGGGGGAGCCCCCCGCTTGGCGACTGGCCTGCCTCCTTCTTAACAATAACTAACTCTTTTCAACCAAATGAGTTGGTTCTTGTGCAAGAAATATATACCAAAGAAGCTGGCTAGTGGCTGTTTGGCAGTTCGATTCCCACAGACAATGACAGAGTTTGACAAACCACATAGTCTCCTGTAGAGCCATTGCATCTGATGTCACATCTAATGGGGGCTGGGAACAATTTCTTGGAGGTACTACAAAGACAGAAATTTGCTAGGCACAGAAAGGTTGGCTTAGGTACGTAAATTTAAAATCACATAAATCTGCTAAGCAGTATTTCCTGCTAATCCGCTCCAACACACTGAGCCCAGATCTTTGTTCCTTTGGTTGTCATCTAATTTTAATACCAAAACAACTGTCTCAGCATTGGCTACCAGTGCAAGGGGTCTAGTGGCTGCTATTGCTGTGGTTACAGGTTCATATTCCCGCAATTACTTTTTTTCCCGTAGCTCGCCAAGCCAGTTGAGGACCCGGACACTAAGAGCCTCGCTCTGAAGAGAAGCCAAGAGGAATCTGATGGAAACACCCAAGAAGCTAAGAGGAGGAAGGAGGAGGACAGCTGACCAGTAGAAGAGAGGTGAAGACATTGAGATAGAATGCAGGGTTGGGCTGGATTCGAACCACCATCCATTAGAAATAAAACTCTGGTTCTCAATCAACTGAAATCATCACAACACTCATTTCTTCTTTCATGCAAGGGTAGAAACAAATGGCTCATTTTATGGAATTCATGAATTATGTTCAGTCCATGTTTTTTGATGATTTTGTTGGATATGCAAATGTAGGAAGGTAGACCCTAGCCAATACTACCATTTATAAGGCTTGATACCCCTTGAAATTTGAAGTGCAAAAAAAGTGATTGCCTTCACTGTGGTAGATTTTTTGAGGAAGGGAAAGGAAATGTGTTACCTCAAAAACAGGGCAAGTCAAAAAAAGCGGAACCCAAACCACCAAAAATATATTTCATGTTTAAAAATATATGTAGCACAAAACGTAATACTGACTGGAAAGCCAATTAGACAAAAAAAATTTATGAGATTGCTCAATATCACCATTTAAACACAATGACTCTAAAACCTGTTTCGTCAAAAAAAAGGCAGTTTATTGTGTATTCTGATTGATAAAATCCACTGTTTTAAAAGACGGGCTTCAAAAGGACTTTGTTGAATATTTTTAACTTTTAAGCTGAGGTTTTATTGCTGGTGATGTTTGAAGACAATTGTGACGATTCCTGAAATCGCATTTTTGGACGAAAGAGGTTTTGTGGTCATGTGTTTAAATGGTGATAGTCTTTGAATGGATTGAGCTATTTCAGTAATTTTTTCATCTAAAAGTAACTTATGAAATTGGCTTTCCAGTCATTATTATGTTTGGTGCTACAAAATTATTTTAATTTGAAATTTAATTTTGTGGGGTTTGGGTTCTGCTTTTTTTTACTCACCCTGTAGTTCATGATCATCACAAGAAAACCATTCTTACATCCAAGATTACTATTTTATGAGCCCAACTTGTCAGTTTCAAAGCCCAATTGACATTGTGAACGTGAAATTTGTTGAGTGAAACTATTACGTGGTCAGTTTACTCTTCCTTGCTATTTGTTTTCCTTGAAGGGACAGCATCAAAGCTTGCATGTCTGTGTAGAGTTTGTGATTAACGTTTTAAATGATTCTTATTTTATCTGATAAACTGTTAAAGTTGACCACATTTCCCTTGGTGTGTCAAGCCTAAAATTTACATTGCGCATGCACCACCAGAACTACGAACTGAAGTTATGAGAATGGTTTAATGTATGAAGACAGATCACAAGTTACTCACACAATCCAGTACCCTTTATGAGATATGGTGGGCATGATATAAGGCGCTATTTGGTTTGGGTCAAGTCTTCTTGATTTACCCCAAATTTACCCAAATCAAATGGCGCCCTCCGATTGTGTCCATCATATCTCAAAAAAGGTTAATAGCAGTTGAAGCGTTCACAATTATGAAATTCTTAAGACTCTGAAATACTGAGTGTGCTTTTTCTCTTCTCCCAATCTGCAGGTTAAACAACACGGTGACTCCACTGTGGAACCAGCCATATGAGGACCAGCTATCCACCAAACAGACCAACACCAGGGAGTTTCTGAGGAATTTATCCAAGATGCTGCAACAGAACATTGGGAAGATGTCTCCCTGGCTGAAGCAACAAAGGTGAGCTACCCGCCAAAGACACGGGATGGTTGTGGGCCAGAATGGAAATGTGATCTTCGTTGACAAGTAACTGTTTGGAAACACAATTTATGGCGAGCTGCCCTGAAAACTTGTTAAAACCCCAGAAAATGTAGCCCATTTGTTTGAGAATCAGTTAAGGTTTTAACAAATTTTATGAAATAAGCTCCCTTCTCCACACACACAAGTCTTGTAGAATAAAAAAAAACACACACACACACAAAACAAAGGAAAAAGCTCACGAGAAAAAGTTTACAAAAGCTGCTTGAGTGGGACTTGCACCAACAACCTCCAGCTTACTAGTGCAGATGTCTTACTTGACCACCAAGCTTGCTGGGGCTGACTGGCTGGTTCCAATCTGATATAGCAGGTGCCACAATCAATGAGTTTAATGGATTGTTTACGTAGGGGACTTGTGAATGTTAATATCTGGTTTGCCATTCACCAATGCAAATTTGAAAGCTTTCTTGGGTGGGATATGAACCCATGACCTCCTGCTTACTAGTGCAGACATCTTAAGGCCCTCTCACAGTGTCACGTTCTGGCATGGAGTTTGTACTGCTACCAAGAAAATTGACTAAAACGCGGTGGGAACGCAGATGACGGCGTGGGGACTCATTGATACTAGTTGAGGACTTCAGAAGATTCCAAGGACTTCGCTGAACACCAAACTGCCGTGTTCGTTTTGGATATGCACAAAACAAACGTTGCACCTCGGCGTTTTGACCAGAACGCGGCAACGACCCTGCGCAAACTCCTCACGAATGGCCGTGACGTACTGGCAACGCGCAGGCAGACGTTAGCAACGTTGTGAGAACTCCACGGACGTGCATGCATCAGGACTGCGCGTTTCCTCTGTGTCTCCTGCGTCTATGCCGTTCAAAATGTGAAGACTCAATGACTATCGCCAATTTTGGCCCGAGTATTTATACACGACGCATTTCTGGCTGCTGATGTTACACGTATGTTTTAAGGTCGCATCAAGCACACGATAAGAACTCCAAGAGCATGGTATGAACTTATTAGACGCCATGAGGACACAGCGAGGACACAGAGGACGCTGCGCAGACCTCTAATTGGTCTTCAATGGAACTCATAGAGAACGCCGCATAGACGCTATGGAACGCCACACGGACGTCGTAGACTTCCGGTGGACTTCACAGAAACGCATTGCAAGCCACTGGCGCCATGAATCCTGCATCTTAATGGTGTTTTGTTACATTTTTAAGCATTTCAACTACGCAATATGAACGCCATGCATGGACGTGACAGTGTGACAGGGCCTTTAACAACTTGACAAAAGAGCTTGCCAAGGTTGGAGAGCCAGTTTGAATCTTGTACGTATATAGCTGTGAGAACCACTGGAACAAATTCACAAGCTAGCTTTGCAGGGACTCGAACCCACGCCCTCATGTTTAATAATAGTGCACTCTTCATTTGATTGACAGGAAGAACCACAGTGGGATGGCATGTGAGTTGGAGCCAATTAAGCCATCGGTGAGTAAGCTAAGGCCAAAAAAAAAATAGTTCTGCTTCCGATTACATGTCTTTCAAAAATAGGGTCGGTCGGTCGGAAATTTTTTTTTTTTTGCCAATTTTTTTTATGCAGATTGAATGGGGTATTCAATTATATGCGAAGTTTTAGCCTGAACTATTTTTATTGCACTACGAAAGCTATACACAAAATGGCCACAAAAAGTGAATAAAACCTACCTTAATTATTGTCAATATATTTAAGTTTGATAATTCGTAAAAAAAAATTGTGGGAAATTCAGGTCGTTCGCACCATAGGCACAACGCTATAGTCAAGAACGGGAGCTGGCCAAAACTCCAAAGTGTGTGATGCACTGTACATGTACATTTGTACATGTGTGGCCCGCGGCCAACGGGTCGAACATTTCAGGAAACACGCTGCATTGTATCACTCCAAATACGAGTAGTGCGATCTCAAAATGAACTCTTGAACACGGAAAATACATACACAGACAAGCTAGATCAAATCTGTGAATTAACTTGCAAAAATGTTCTTTCTCCATCGGTATTTTCTTGGCATTTTTACGATGTCTTTCTCAGCATTTTTACGATGTCGATTCCGACCAGTTGACAGAGCACGTGCCTGCGCCTGCATAGCCATGCTAGCGCTACCATCGCATAGCCGTGCACAGACTAGTTACCGCATTTTCATAATGGCTCCTGACATCGAATTGCGAAGTAGTTGAATCGCGCAGCGAATTTGTAAAAATAACGGAGGTTTCTTTTGAAAAAAATAGCGAATGTAAGTAAGAAAACAATAAATACAAGCATTTTTTTATGCAAAAGGGTTGTTGAGAGGTATTTTGTGAAGACAGACAAGACATAAGGTTTTTATTTGTATTTATTCAATCTTTTTTTTTTTTTTTTTTTTTGGAATTGCCGATAAAATTTTTAGGGTCGCAGCCTAAAAATAGGGTCGGTCGGGTAACCGGAAGCAGAACTTTTCTTTTTTTTGGCCTAAGAGATCATGTTTGTTGACTACAAAGACTTGATTTTTATGATAATTCATCTGTAGTTTAGTGAATGGTTCTATGAATTAAAATCTCAGCATAAGTTTACTTTGGCATATAGTTAGTGTTAGGTTAGCTTGACTGATGTGACCTTGGGTAACTAGATAGAGTCACCTTTAACTAAATTAATACTTCAACCAGGATTTTATGATAGACTAACATTACGGTGTGTGAATCTTTTGTGGGATAAATATTCCTGACATTGGAGATGTCTGATTTGCCCTTTAATTTTCATTGTTTGTTTCCTCATCAACAGCCAGTATTAGAGAGTTATCGCAACAAGTGTGAGTTTACCATCGGAAAGAGTGTCTATGGCATCGGTGAGTGAAACTGGCATTCATTTTTTTTTATTTATCCAACCTCTACGATTTGTGGTTCTGCATCCTTTGGATTTGATGATTTCTGGGCAACTCTGAAGTGTCATTGGTGGGATGTGAACCCCAACCCCCTGCTTATAGAAACTCTCTCATTTAGGGGCAGATTGAGACCAACTGTCCTTGGACTTACTGACAAACTGGGTCTCTCTCACAGCATAAACACCAGGGGGTGGGGGATTTATCCCCACCACCCCTCCCATGTTTTGACCAGAGGTGGGGTATGGGCAATGGCATCATCATGTGTTGGGGAAAATGCTGCTTGTTGAATCCTGTCAACATGACTTTACAAAGAAGTTGTAGTAGTTCTGAGGGAAGCGAAGAGCAACCCTAGGCACTCTTAAATGAAAGTAAAGTTTAACATCAAAGCGTTTCTTTCTTTCTTTTCTTTTTTTTAAGATAGAGCACACCTATCCACCAGTATTGGTGTTCAAGGCACTGCATCATTAAATTAAAAGTGCACATTGCCTGGATAACATTAACATAACATTTCATACAATGTGCCTGTTATGAATACCGCAACTGAAAGTTTCAGGAATTTATTTTCTCAGTTATTCCCCTAAATTCTTGTCAGGTCTACATGAAACTTGGCCCTGGATAAATTGTGCAAACGTTTCAGTATCATGTCTTCTTATTTTCATTGACAGATAACACTGTTGGTTTCCGGCTTGGCGCTTACAAAGGTAAGTATTTCCTCTGAAGTTTCCTTTTTGCAAAAGACGTAGATCAACTTTTATGTTTGATTGGATCGGCTGTTGAGGGGCGTGGCCTATTGGTAGCTAATGCTGATCAATTCCAACCAATCAGAATGCAACGCACAGAAAGATTGACAGGTGTACATATTGTGCATTGTCTAATATGTCTGTCAGGAATTAATTATTGAAAAGAAAGAAACAAGCCACAAAAGACTTAAACCCTTGTCATCCCCTTTGCTAACCAATATGTTGGCTTACTTTTGTGGCATGAATATTGAGGGTATATGTTTGTACTTTTAACATTGACCAGCAAGCTCTTTTACTCAATAGGGATTTTTCAACAATTACATTTGTACAAACAAGAATTAGGTTTTCAACACAAAATTCAGGAAAATCACGATTTGTTTAAATGTTGCTAGTGTACACTTTTATTTATTTTATCACTGATAATACTTTTACACGCAAATTTGCTTGTCCTAAAAAAAGTATGTGACTTTTAGAAACATGGTTTGCCCTGCAATTTTTAAGAGCTCAAACACCGATTTGGTGATAGTACATTTCTGTATTATTTGTGTTTAGACTTTTAAATTACACAAGGAAATTGCAGCTTTAATGAACATATAAAAAGCAGCAATTCCTCGGATACTGTGCAAATTAAGATACATCTTGTATGATGCTAAATTTACAACGACATTCATATTTTACAGCATTGATTTTTCAATTACCCAAATTCGAGGTACCCTTGAGTCCATCTAAAAGAAATATTAGAATATTGCTTTGCATTTAAACATCATACAGACTTGGAGCTCATAATGTAATACAACAGACTAGTGGTGCTACACAGATTATGTACAATTATAGAGCATGCAAGTCTCGCCAGTTCACATTCACTTTTCATGTGAACATCTTGGTACCAAACACTGACTAGTCTAGCCACAGACTCCCGTCTTTGAATTCACCCAATGAACGGAAGTGGAGGTCCACATTTTTTCAATTTACTATAGTAATCAATTTGCAATATTTTTGGAATGTGTTGTAAATTGGAATGATTTTTTTCTTGTTCAGAACCCATTCTTTGCCCTTGACTGGATAAACCTAGTAAAATCACCTAGGTTTTTGAAGTCAACTTGCACGCTCTATTGACAGAAGTGGGGAACACATTGCTGACTTTAACTATCAACTACATTTTTTCCAGCTAGTAGCTGTGTAGACACCTTTAATACACCAGACTTAAATCCCATACTGTACATCTAAAGCCTACAATGGTGTCGTATATTATATATCTGTGCTCTGCAGCAAAAAGTCTATACAATGGATTTCTCCTTGCTAAAGATAGAATGGTCTTCAAAAAGCATTTTCCACGTTGTGCAACATGTCGTCGCTTTGCTCACGAAGTGACAAAAACCTCAAAATTTGACAAAAGTTCATCCTGAGATAATCGTATTTGAAGTTATTCATTTTTTCAAAAGACATTTTGGACCACTTTGCAGTAACAGAATCCGGAATTTTTTGCATTGTCCGATAGGATATGATTTGCTCTTTGTTAATTCATAGTTGTTTGTTAAAAAATACATGTAGTTCGTTATTAAACAGTAATTCATTAATAAAACTTTTTTGCACTTCGTGAGAACATCGATACTTTGGCTCCCATATTTTGCCAATTACTTTGTACATCGTTTTTGTCACTTCGTGGGATCATGAATCGCGGAGGCTTTACTTATTTGTACTTTTTTTCGACGCAGCAAACTTGTTACTTTTGCGCATCAGGACAGTTGAGCGCGCGCACGCGTCTGTTCTTTTTCAACATCGTTCGCGCATGCGTGTATGCTCCCATCCTCATAGCTGCCAACTAGTACGATTTTTTCGTAATTATTACGAATTGTTTGTTAAATTACGAAAATATGATTTGCCACTAAAACATTACGAATTTCCCATTTTCTACCTAACGTAAAAAAAAAATGTAAAGTATCGTTTTTGACCGAAAACTTCTGGCGAAATGTCGCGATAATGGATGGACTGGTGACAAGTCTAATAAGAATGCAGTCAAGCACCTGATAGACATCAATGCAGTGTGCGCAGTGGAGTACTTGAGGACCAGACTAAAAATATTTGTCAATGGTGTGTCATTTGTGTGCATCTCGTTATTATTCACAACAAGAAGGGTATGCACATGTATGTGTACATGTAAACCATGTACCTGTACTCGATGTTGGTAAAGCTTTTGATAAAACGAGAAGTTGTCAATGACCGCGCAGGTTGATTACTAATTGGGATTTTGAAATGTTGGCAGCTATGCATCCTGCCGCGTGTAGACCAATGTATTATTCCTCCGGCCCTGCTCAAGAGGTGACTTTTTGTCACTTCATGAGAACATTTTACACTTTTTTACACTTTGTAAAAATGAAAATCACCGATTTCAGGCTTTTTGTCAATTGTTTGTTTACAATAATTAAGAAAGTATACAATATTTTGCCTTGAAACTTGGTCAAATTGTTCCTTGAGACAACTTCATGTAAAATAAATGGCTAGTAAAACTCAAAATCAAATAATTATCGATTTTCGAGGTTTTTGTCACTTCGTGAGCAAAGCGACGATGTGTGCACAAAGATTGGTGTAATGTATTTGGAATCAGATGCTCCTAATGCATAACTTGCAACTTTGTTGATTTGTTACTTAGGCTGTGTCTGAAACGGGCTTCTAGAGCTATGGCTACGGCTATTGTCAGATTGTTCCCATGTAATTGTTATGGGTGAAGACACAGACAATAGCCATAGACATCTCACTTGCCCATATTAGACTTAAATATACCTCAAAAAATACCAATTTAATCTTTTTTTCTTCTCTAATTGGAGTCAGGTCTTGACCCACAAGATAACCATTCCACCAGCACCTCTGACGTACCAGTGACTGGTGCTGCCATAACGGATCCTTATCACTATCTGACACAACAGCACTTCACCTCAGAGATCTTCAAGATTGGGATCCAAAACCTCCCAAGACATTTTGGATTTGCGGTGAGTTTGCTCCCTAAACATTCAACCCTCGATAATGATAATCAGGCGGGGTCCAGGATTTTTTTAGACGGAGGGCACATTGTTGGAACATTTTCTCCGAGAACTATGTGAGCGCGGGAAATTTTGGATTATAGATGATCTGTATTGCAATCTGAGGCGATTCCTGGCCCCTCTTACCCCGACTCATTTGAGCAAAACATTTTAAGATCATATGGATTTTTCATTGGTTTAAAATAAACTCTTACTATTACAAACCTTTTTAGTTTCTTCTGTTCTTCACGTGATAACCATGTATTTTCGTCTGCATATTTTTGTGCATTTTATTTGTAAAAAGGAATTTTATAGACTTAGTTTGTAAACTGTTGCAAGGATGCTTTGAATTGTTCAGTTTATCAATAAGAACAAACCGCTTGAACATGTACATTGAATTCAAGTTTAAAATTAGTGTAATTTAATCAAATTAAAACAGAGGAGCAATTAGGCCTCCATGCACATTGTAAATTCACAGCTCAGATTTATCTCGTGACTAATCTCATGCATGCGTAATGTAATTGCCCAAACATTTTACAGCAATGTTCTTGGTTTTAATTCAGTCCAGTTTCAATTTCAAGAATAGGGCCTAGTTAATACATGTACAGGTACATGTATTTGTAAATAAACCATCGGCAGATCGGCGGCACAGCAAGACAATTGTATAAAACACTCATCATAGTTTGTACACATGTGACTGGTCTCTTATAGAACAGAAAATAGTCATTGGGCCTTTGGCCCCATGATTGCAATTCCCATTTAGTACGATACATTGTGAAGGTGTTTTCGTCATTTTGTTACGTAAAAAAATACAGTAAATAATTGTATATTGATGACGTTGAGAAATAGACATCAGGAATTGGTGTATTCCTATCCCAACCCGGCACAGACAGGCGCCGGTCTGCGGCCGCCACAGGCAAACTCCAATAAAAAAGTCCTCGCTTGCACTTGAGAAAGCAACTCACAGCGTGTTCTGTCTAACTTGCCAGAGCATGTCTAGAGTGTTAAACTTTGCCTTTACGCTGTAACTGCTGATTTTTGTCCTAAGAACAAACAGATCCCTTTTAAGTACCAAACTTATCAGGTTGGTATTTTCAGCGATGTGTAGTAATGTCAAAAACCTTTTTCGTGAAAGAAAAATGTTTTATGGACGGATCCATGTATGCCTTCAGGGGTGTTTAATTTTTGGGGGGGTTTACATTGTTTCTCGAATAAAGTCTTTATGAAAATTATATGATGACGTTGAAGAACTCATTTTAAAACAAGGAAATGTTTTGGACTCCGTGAAAGTGTAATTTGTACTATTTGTAAGGAGGTTGCTCTCCTCCTTCCCTTCTTCTCGCTCTTCTCCCCCTCTTTTTGTCCTTTTTTCCTTCTTTTTTTGTGGACCCTCGGAACACCCCTGGATCCGCGCCTAAATTAACATACAGTTTGCACTTCTTTTTTTTTATAGCATAAAGAAATTAAAGGGCCGCGAAATGAATTTCACTAAAATATTACCATATATAATGTATAAGCCTCCTGTATTTATCAAAGTAACAACTACATGTACTTATTTATTTCCTTTTTTTCAAGTGCTCTTTTTACAATGTCCAAACACTTTCACTTTACAGCTTTGGGATTTTCTGTGTAATTTATGAACCTAAATTTCTCTGCATTGTACATGTACACATAGCAGTTTGCACATTGAAGTATCCCATTGACTGCCTGCCATGTGCTAAATGAAGAAAACAGTCACATCAACCTCGGCCAAAACCATTTTGTAATTTTTTTGTCCTCAAACATCAGTGAAACTGAAGTTGCAGCACATGACGTCACTGTAATTCTCATGAATATGCACCTTGGCACCATCCTAAAAATATGAAAAAGCCTGAAACATCCAAAGACTTGGAATACAGAGGTGCATTTCCTAAAATTAAAACCTCCGAATCTGTTTCCAAGGCACTTGAACAAGTACTTAAGGTGGGACAAATGTCAGGGTTATCCATATGTTAGTGCCAATAGATGTGCATTTTCACAAATAAAGA